TGGCTAAGGTCCGTTTTCTTCATTATCAGACGCTTGACGTTTGGACAGTGTTCCCAGATCTGACCGCACAGAGAATGCCTTTGTTCACACAAGAGTTCCTTTCCCTCCTACATGCCCCTCGTCCATGCACCACCCCAGTCCCGCACTGAGGCTCCACAGGGAAGGATCTCTGCCAACATTCGAAAATCACCTACGGAAAATGCAGGTCCCTTGCTGCATGGTAAAACGCTCCCTATCACAAACATATGTGCGCCATGCTTCTTTTGTTACCCGTTTTTTGGCAGCCAGAGAAGTGCATTTCATCATTTCATCTCCAAATGTGTTTTACATTCACGAGAAGAGTCAGCGGACTTAGTGCGATACTCGCCACCAATTTCTGACTGGCGGCCAAGTCCTTTTCCCACCTCTGTGGCACATGCTGCCCTGAAGCAGCAATCTGGCCTCCCAAGCCGAATGTCTTACGCAAAATGCCAGGCAGGACACATGTGCAATGCAGACGCTGGAGCCTTTCCCGAGGCCGGTCCAGGGATGTCAAATAACAGGTGGTGGAGGCATCCAACAGAGAATTTTGAGTTGACCAGAGTGTGCCTGGTGAGAAGCTCATCACAAAGTCATGAGGCAGACAGGGGGAGATGACATGTCCAACGCTCCCTGGCAGCCTAACTTTCAAATTTGCCCTTCTTGGCCCAAACATTAATATTCCAACTTTCCCCAGGGGTTGATTTTCAATGCAACATTTCTCCTGACCTTGATGTTTACTATGAATAATTTCCCTTCTCTAATATGTAATCTTGTGAGTGATCCAGGATAATAATAATAATAATAATAATAAATCATAATAGGAAAACGTGCTATGAGCCACCTACTGTCCTAAGTGTGTTAGCTATTTTAATACTCTCAATGGTTCTATGAGGATAGCCCAGACTTGGTGGTTCACACAATAGGAATTGATTTTGCTCAGGCTGCGACTTGTGGGAACTCACAAAGGGTATGCCAAGGTCAAGGTGCTAGCCAACATGGTTTCTTATTAGGGTACTCTTCTTGGCTTGAGGACAACAGTTTTCCTGCTGGGTTCTCACATGGCACAGAGAGCAAGCAAACACATTTTCTGGTATCTGTTCTTACGTGGATACTTATCAAATGAGGGTCTTACCTTTTGACTTTATTTAACCTTAATTACTACCTTAATGGCCCCATCTTCATATACAAACACACTGTTGTAGGGCTTCAACATAGGAATTGGACGAGGGAGCAAAATTCAGTTCATAGCAAGTAGTTATTGCTGAAATTTTAGAAGTCATAGATGAGGCCCAGATGTGGTGGCTCAGGGGGCTAAAACACTGTGTCCCATAGGTTGGGGCCACATAAGAGGCTGGGGTTTGACTCCTGGTCCAACCTAAAAACTGAATGTGGTGGCATGCACCTGTCATTCCAGCTGGGATGCTGAAGCAGGACAATCACAACATAGCAAGATTGTCTTTGCGGGAAAAAAAGAAAAGAATCTTTAAAAGAAATCACAAGGCCAGACAGCGGGGAAGCAGTAAAATGTGATTCTCTGCAAGGCAGAGCCACATGGATGGTTACTGGTTCATAATCTCTACACCTCCCTGAGCACATGGAGCACATGTGTGTCCATGAGCCGGGCCAGCTAAAGCTGGGGTGTGGGGTAGATCCCAGCATCCTGACCCTGTTGAGGTGCTAAATCTTTGTCTCTCTACATGTATCTTTCTCACTTATGGAATAAAAAAACAAACTTTGAAAACAAAACTACAATTTTTAGAAAACAACAACAAAAAAGAAAACCTTAAAGAAGTCAGGAAGGATAAATAAACAACAACAACAACAACAAAAAAAACCCCACAAAAAGTAATCAATCATCTTTAAAGGAGCAGCAATCTAATTAACAGCTGACCTCTCACCAGAAGTGAGACGAGTGAGACAAGTCAGAGGAAAACAGAGTGAATTCTTTTATGTACTGAAACACGTTCACTGCCAAGCTAAAATGATATTTCATGGAAACTGTCCTGCACAATTGGAGACAACACAAACAAATTTGCAGATAACAAAAATACTGAAACTGTGGTCAATATTACTTCACAAAAATCAACACTACAGGGATTTATTTAGGTAAAGAAAAAGAATTCCAGTTAGAAGCATAAAAATGCAAGAAAGATTGAAGAGCAACTGAAAGAGTAAATATGCAGGCCATTCTAAGGGATTCCTGGCTATACAAAATGCTATAAATAGGGCCAGTAGGTGACATGGAGATTAAGGCACTGGATCCGCATGGCCGAGTACACTGGTCAACTCCCAGACCTGGTGGCTTGAAAATGACACCAGGCATGTGTGTGTGTGTGTGTGTGTGTGTGTGTGTGCATGCAATAACTCCTAAGAGGTGAATGGAAGGGGGGGATTGTGAGTGGCGATCCCCCCTACGGGTGATTTCTCACTTTCTCTCTTTCTCTCAAAACAAATCATAAAAATGCTTTAAATAATGTCTGTGTTAAACTGTATTGTTGTTTTAATGGTAACAAAGAAGCAGGAGAGTAGATAAAGAAATTAAAGTATTCCAAGATTCTTGCATTTGCCTGGAAAGTGGCAAAATTCTAATATATATTATAATTAAGTAAGTCTAGGATTGATGTTGTATTATCTAGAATAATTGCTAAATAAGATTAAAAGAATGTATAGAAAACAAGATTATGAATGAGAAAAATAAAATTAGATATAATATTTGAATAACACAGAAGAATGCAATAAAAAGGAATATAAAACAAGTGGGACACGTAGAAAAGAAATAGTAAAACAATAGCTTTAAACACAAATATACTACTAATTGCATTAAATGTAAATGAACTATTCCAATTTAAAAAAAATTATCTGGGATGGGACTATTAAGCAAATAATCCCACTATATACTGCTTAATAGAAAACCTCTTAATATAAGAATACAGAAAGATTGAAAGCAGAGTACTGAAAAAATATATCCTATGAAATATGAATCAAAAGAAAACTGCCTTAATTATACTATTATTAACAAATTAGATTTTAGAGCAAGAATTATTACTACAGATGGAAAAGGACATTTTAGAAGAACAAAAGATTTAACTTTAGGAACATGTTACATTTCTATTGTTATATGCAGTTAACAACACAAAAGAAATACAAATATTGGGTTGTTTGGGAAAGTTGTGACGCATTTTTGCATAGAAAAATACGTCAGGACCTTCCTGACAGACTAATACATAGAAAAGTTGTCAATTATAGTCAAAGATTTTAACTGACTGTAAACTGATGGAACAAATAGAAAAAAAGAAAAAAAAACAATAGAAAAAAAAAAGAGAGCAAGAAAAGGAAAAATTGAAAAAATTTGAAAAATAAAATTGGGGGCTGGCAGGTGGTGTGGTGGGTAGCGGTCCTGGACTCCTACATGGCTAACAGCGGTTCAAGTCCTGGACTTGGTGGCTGGCTCTTTCTCATTTTATCTCTCTCTCTCTCTCTCTCGTTCTGTCACTCTCTGGTCAAATAAATAGTTAAATAAAAAAAAATTCTTTAAAAAAAATTGTTAAACTTGTCCTGACGTATAAAGCACTTCAACCAACAACTGCAGAATACACATTCTTTATCAGTGTACAAGAAACATTAGCCAAAAATAACCATTTTAGGGTCATAAAGCAAGTTTCAAATCATTGAAATCATAAAGAATATGCTTTCTCACTTCAAAGGAACAACAAAATATATGTTTTTTGCTAGAAATAAATGCAAGTATAGAAGACTCAAACTGTTTGGAAACTGAGCAAAATACTTTTAAATAACCCATTGGTCAACTGGAAAAAAAAAACCACTATGGAAAAATATAAATAATTTTTAACTAAATTATTAAAATGAAAAATTTTAGGGTGCACTTAAGGACCTACTTAGCAAATCATCACACTGCATACATATATTAGAAATAAAGACTGAAATTTATGATTTAGGTATGATCTTAGAGCTTTGTTGGGTTTTTTTTTTTGAGGGATTTTTGCTATGTGGTTCATGTGTTCACCAGAGAGCCAGAAACATCATCCCCCAGGGAGGACGGCCATGCCGCAATCCCTTCTCCTCCATACTCTTTTCAGGATTGTGGGCATCACGCACACGTGTCTGGCCCGAGTTTCAAGTCACTGGGTCCAAGACTTCAACCAAATATTCAAAGGAGTCCCCTTTTATCTGTAGTTTCACTTCCTATGGTTTTAGTTACCTGTGGTAAATCATACTCTGAAAATAGGTGCGTGCAGTACAATAAGATATTTTTGGAGTGAAAAAGACCACTTTCATTACAGTATATTGTTATATTTGTTCTGTTGTATTATTGGTTATTGTTAAGCTATTATGCCTGATTTATGAATTAAACTTTATCACAGATATACGTGCACAGGATAAAACATAGTATAAATAGAATTCATGGTTTCAGGCCTGGGGGGTCTTAGAACACATAATTTACAGATAAGGGAGGACAACAGTACAATTTCAGATACTAGAGAAGGGACATGTCCCCAATCATTTTATAATCTCAAGACCAGCAAAGGACACTATAAGAAAGGAAAATTACAGGAATCACACCTGACCCCTAAAGTACAGGTTGCTCTAGAGGTGTCAGCTAGAGAGATTTTATTCTGGGGTTTGACATGATCATAGATTTGCTAGAAGAGATTATGGTGAATCTATCTCATGTAATTTGTCTAATTTCCCTTTCTTCTCTAGCAGACTGTAATTCTCTCACTACTCAACTCTTTGGGTTGAGTACTATCTTCCTAGTTGTCTCCTCATCTTGTGAACAACGCCTGAACTTCTGTCTGGTTTTACATTAGGCCCTGTGTACTTCCGCATGAACTCAGACCACTCGCCTCTGTGGGAAGCAAGGCTGCAGAAGACTCATGGTGGCTGTTGTATGACGTAGAGCCAGGTATTCAGCATTAATTTTCAATCCTACTATCCCATTCCCACAAGTGTTTTCATACCTGATAGAAATCATCCACTTGCCGTACATAACCAGCCACTTCAAGATCTGATTTAAAGATCTTCCAAACTTTTCTTTCCACCTTCCTGTATTTCTGGGACCCTTTCCAGTCCATGGCCATCAAGGAGCGCTCTGGGGGGGGCCCTGCCACAATAATATCCAGTTGGCCATTGTAGATCAACACCTGCAATAAAAAGGAGCCATCAACAGAAGCAGGATTCAGCAGCTGAATCTACTGAGGTATCAACAGCAAAGTAAACTAGAGAGAAAAGGGAAGGGGAGCTTCTCTGACAGCTTTTGACCTGACTCAGAGGCTAGCCTGGCAGATAGATGGGGCTCTGTCTTCCAGCAGACCATACACACCAACAATCTGAAAGAACCGCAAGCCTTGTATCCATCATTACATTCTTCAAGATTGACTGTTCATAGTAATCTGCAAAAAGGCCCCCTTCACTGCAAAAACATTTGTGCCATATTATATATTTTACTAAAACTACGAAATAGTATATCCTAGGATTTTCATGAAGTCTGCATTTCATTAACTCTGATTTCAGGCATTACAGTAGCTGGCAAGCTGGGCATTCTCTTGGGTGTTGCTAATCCATATTGCCCTCCCCCCCACCTTGATTTCTGAGGCAACTATAATATTTTGAGGCAGACAGATAGTCGCAGGTGCTTCAAATTCATTGCTCATTGGAGGCAGCTATGCCTGCCATGCCGCTTCCAAACCTTCCTTTTCTTAAAAATCCCTTCTCCACCATTCTCCTCCTGGGATTTTGGGCATGCATGCACACATGCTCAACATGAATTTCAAGCCAACCAAGCTGGGACTCAAGCCATGGTTGGTTTTCTTAAATACAACAGCCACTTGTCAACAGTGAGGAATGTCCTTTCTTCTCAGAATACTTTTTTTCCCCCCAAAACTGATGGTAATCATAGGAGAAATAATACTGAGGCAACTCTTCTCTTTTTTTTCCCAATACAATTTTCTTGAAAAATAATTCAGATAACCACCCAAAGCTAACAGAGTTGTGAAGCTATTAGAAACAATATACAATGGAACTACTCCTGAGAAAGACAATGGTCAATTCTTTGCCCAAAGACTTTAAAGATGTTGTGACTCTTTGTTCAATAACCCCCGTTTTAAAAATATATTCTATGAAAACAGGCCAAAAGAATTTTTTTTTTTAATTAGGGGGCCAGAAGGTGGCATGTTGGTTAAGGTGGACTCCCACATGGCTGACCACGGTTCGAGTCCCAGACCTGCTGGCTTGAAATTCATGTTGGGTGTGCATGCATGCGTGCCCCAAATCCCAGGAGAATTGAGGAGAAGGAATTGTGTTGTGGCCATTCTCTTGAGGGGTGATTTCTCACTGTCCCTCTCATTGTCTCTGTCTCTCTCTGATGAGTATATGTGCTCTATAGCAAAAAACATTAAAAAAAGTATGTAACTGTATTCACTGAGACAACTAAACAAACATAATCTAAAGTTTATTCTAAAGAATCTAATTGGTGAGTAGTTAAGTATGCAAAAACAGAAAACTTCCTTGGAATATTGTAAAGTTATTTAAAATGTTTGGTTGAACCACCATGTAATGGGAAAACACTTAACACATAATGTTAAGTCTGAAAACTGAAAGTCAAATATAACATATGTCACAATTATGACTCTATAAAATAGGTATATACATTTACATATTTGGAATAAAATTTAAAAACAAATGAATAGAAATAACTAATTTAGAGGCTTGAGATCTGAGCAATTTACCTTTTGCTTTCTCCTTTTCTTATGCTATTTTTTATGTAACTAACATAGTGTTAATCATCATAATGTATGGCCACTCTACTCCCAGCAAGGAAGTTTTCATCCACTCATGTTACCTTTGATCTATTTGGAGCCTTAGATTTGGCCTGAGTGGAGATCTTTGGTTGAATCTTCAATTGGATATAAAATGTTCCATCACACATGTTTCCGTCTCTGCCTTCATGATGCAGGCTTCTTAAAAGGCTTAAACATAATTAAAAAGCCCAGGACTTTTACACACTCCAAATCCTGAAGCAGCAGTGGGACAGGATTCAGAATAAGATGAAAGAGCCCTGGGCCTCTCCTCCAGGAACACGGGGCCTTTCATGTTACTCAGTCTACCCAAAGGAAAAAAATCCTGATACATTTAAAGCCTCTCAAAACAAAAACAAAAACAAACAAACAAAAAAATGCAACTACTGCAACAATATTTGCATTTATACAAAGAAATTGCTCAAAGACTTCAGCCTATGCTAAACCTCCTTCAGCTGTTTTGGCCAACAGTATGGAAACAATTATAAATGATTAGTACCAGCAAACACGGCTAACATATTTCACCATTCTAGAAGGCTTGATTACAGCTGATTAACAAAGATAATCATTTATAAAGAAATTCCTCTTTTCTAGAATCAATGAAAACTGCTGATTAATTAGTAAATACACAATGTACTTATTATTATTTTTCCTCCCATGGCTACTTCATGCAGTTTACATTCTGGGTCACTCATAGCTACTTTTAGTGACTATCATCTCTCCATACTGATATCAATGTGAATTTTTCCATCCTTAGGGACAACAACAAAATCCCTAGGTTACAGCAAAAACAGGCTTACATGTCCAGCATAAAAGTACATGTTTGTTGAATTAAAGTGAAATAAATCCCACCCCTGAGTTATTTCCATTATTATCAAGACTCATTACAAAATAAGAACTCTTTGGAACAAAGCAGTGAAGAGCTGATCTACATAGTTTTGCTCAGGTGATGTGTAGAAGGCTTACTTTTTGCCATAGGGCGGGCGCCACCACACCCCTAGAAGGCTTACTTTTTGGAGCAAATGGAAATCTTTCCTTGCAGAACAAAGATAATATTTTTAACTTATAAAGGACACTATGTCAAATGCAATGACAACAACAAAAAGAAATCAGATTAATGACCAAGAGAAGTGATTTCAGAGCTAGCATTTAGGGTGACTGGCACCAAATATAAGAATTCCAGAGTTTTTCTTTTTATCTAAATGTCACATTTACTCTGCTTGGCCCCCACAGGAAGATCCCAGTTGGGTGACCATAGGCTAGATGAATGTGTCAGATATCCCAGGATCCAGGGACTGTGAGCAGGAGAAGCTAGGTGGCCATAGTATAAGGGTTGCCCTGGAACCAGGGAGCTATGTTGCTATCCACAACCTGACAGAGAAGATCAAGGACAGGACCTTTGGCCCAACATGTTGGCCAATCATGGATGTCCTCCCATTCATCCCCCTTCTCTCTGGATAGATTGACCAGCTGTCCTAGTTTGCTCTGGACTGAGGGGCATTGCAGTGCAGGGCTTCCAGGGCTAAACATAGGGCAGTCTAGGGCAAACCTACCCCTGAGGCTTGCTGGTATTTTAAGCAACAAGGTCTAAAGACAGAAGGGAGGAGACAGGGATGAATGCAGCTTTCAGTCACACTTCCCTGTCAGCAGTGATTCAAACTGAACAGGGAACCAGGAACGAACTGGCTGTAGTTGGTTTATGCTGACAGAGCAGGCAGGGCCCTGGACACCGCGGGTCCTTGCTTTCCTTTATGGTCTGCTGTGAGGCCCCAGTTAAGGAGCAAAGGCATCCCTTTCAGAGATGTTTTAATTCACAGGGGGCTGGCCTTAAGGAGCAAAGGCATCCCTTTCAGAGATGTTTTAATTCACAGGGGGCTGGCCATTGAGCTCATGGACATGGATGGTTATGCAATGACATGGAAAAATGCTTATCCTGTAAAAAAAAAAAAATCAATGAAAAATTGTGATTTTACTTATGTGTACACTATATCTACTATATTTTAAAAACATGCTTCAATCTTGGGAAAAGAACACGTGAAAACACTGGTAGTGAAGGGAGTTGAGGTATGGTTGATTTGTTTAGCTGAGCTGTTTCCTACATTTTGGTAAATATGGAGAGTGCTTCATAATGAAAAAAATAACAAAATGAACAATAGCACTAAGAGGTTGGCTCTTTTTGACAAAAGGTGGGTCTTTTGGGGGAATCATTTATGATTCTTTACATACTACAAACTCCCAATTTTTCCTGAGAAATAGGTAAAAAGCTTCACTTAGTTCATAGGCCATCTTCAAAAGCTCATTCTAGAACTCAAGCATTTACAAGTGATGGCATGAAGTGATTCAGATCATAGGTATCTTTTTCACTTTCACAAAAGGCAGAGGTGAAAAAAACTATGATGATGATTATTATTATTTACCACTTTTCAAAATACTTTCATGTACATATGGCTTTATTCTTTAAAAGGTAAGAATGAGAAGTATTAGACCATCTACCTCCACCTTACTATTAAAAAAAAAAATTGTGGGGACCAGCAGTTGGCGTAATGGCTATGTTGCTGGACTCCCATGTAGTGGACCGTGGTTCAAATCCCAGACCCGGTGGCTTAAACTCATGCTGGGCAAGTGTGGAAGCGTGCCAAGATCTCGAGAGGAGAATGAATGGAGGAGAAGGGATTGTGGCATTGCCACCCTCCCGGGGGGTGGGGGGTGGGTGGGAGGTGATTTCTCGCTTTTTGTCTGTCTCTCTCTTTCTAGCGAGCGCATTAAAAACAACAAAACTGATATTATGAGGTGCCAGACTGAGTCCTAGATCCCAGACTTCCACATTTCTACCTAGAATTTCATAAGAAAAAGGTAAATTCCTTCAAGCCAACAAGCATTTATTGACTCCCCACAGGTAAATATGTAGCACTAGCAAAAGCCTCTGGAGACTCAGAATTGGTAAAATGTGAGATGTAGTTTCTATCTCCAGTTCAGAAACTATCTTGGTCTGTTTTTTCCAACTCTAGTGACATCTCTCAGTCACTGCTCATGCTGGTTCCATGGGCAAGAGTGTGCACAAAGGGCATCCCTCAGGTGGCCAGAGATACTTTGCTTCTGTTGCAGGGTGTGACCTTCACTGAGCAGCTGTGGGATACCATCAGCTCCTTGAAAACAGGGACGCTGTTAGTGCTTGCTACATCTAAAGCGCTTGTGAGCTGCCTAGCACCCCACAGAGCATATTGATAATAGCAGGGTAAAGATTCCACTCTGAAGGGTTTGTGTCATGCTGCAGAGAAACTATAGGCTGTTTTCCTTGGTCTAGATCCATTTCCTTCCCCATGGTAACTACTTTGGGCCACTCTCAA